TTTTTCCTCTCCCTTCTTCATTTCGGCTCTATACACTCCATGAAATTATTCAGTCTTGTTTTCGATAATAATATTTAGGACTATTATTTAATTTCAAAGAACTCCGATTTCTTTTTTTTGTAATTTTATTATGAGCCTAGTATTTTAACGTATTATTTTATACATTTTACAACTGATATTTTGCAATTTCTAACAGATGTCTGATTACGAACGTGTACTTCTCGTTAAGAAGGAAGTTTTTGTCTATCGCATTCCACCACGCCAATCAAATAGGGGCTATAGAGCTGCCGATTGGAACCTAGGGGAGCCTTTCTGGACCGGTCGCTTACGTGTTGTCTCCAAAGGAAATGACCTATCTATTCAATTAGAAGATAAAGTATCCGGTTCGCTGTTTGCAAACTGTCCTGTACCTTCATTTCCAGGTATTGCAGTCGAATCCGTTCTCGACTCAAGCCGCTATTTTGTAATCAGATTAATGGATACAAACGGCCGGACTATGTTCGCTGGAATTGGATTTGCCGAGAGAGGAGATTCCTTCGATCTAAATGTTGCTTTATCTGATTATTTTAAGTAAGCAATTCTATCTTAACATTTAGATTTTAGCATATTTACTTTATATTTTTAAATTTTCCACGGAGTGTATTATCTTATTTAATCATCTTTAAATAGCTTAAGTGTGGGTCAGGTCTTAGTATTCTCCTTGGCTCTGCATAGGCCTAGAAATCTTCATATTGTCAACTAGAGTGTTCTCGCAGACCCTTTATATCCTGGGACAAAATAAGCAATCACACTAATGCATTCGTTGTCCTTAGTTTAATACTAGAATTTAAGTATTAAGAGATATAACTGTAATGTTCCTATGATCTTGTTACTTGGAGGAATTAAAGAAGAATCTATCAAGCCTCTTGGTGAACTTAACTAGCTATCGAATTTGTTTAACCTTGTTTTCGCATGCCAACGATGCATGCAAGCTTTTTGATTATAAATCAAAGTAGGTAAGAGAGCTTATTGCAATATCAAATCTGTTGCAACTACTACATGAATGCTTATTTGAAAGGACTTACGAGGTCAGTATATGTGCAAGAAACATCTTAATTTTCATACTTAGAGTTCAGGGACTGAGTTAGTAACAGTGCTCTTGTTTCGTAATGATCACGACGGGCATTTAAATTAAATAAAAACATTGAAAATATCCACTAAGCGCTAAGGCTATATTCCATTTTACATATAAAGATATTTAAAAACTGCAGCCCTAGACATCTAATCTTTTTAAGAAGGATTCATTATAAATAGATGAACCCGAAAAAAATCTTTGAAATTTAACAGAAGCTCTCGCTACATTTTAACTAGCATTCAGTTTCATTTTTGTCTTTTTCATTTTTTCGTTACTCCAAGACATGCCACTCTTCTAACGATCAAAGACGGGTAACTTATTAACCGAAGGTATAAAGACCAAGATAGTGGGGCCTTTAATACTGTCGGGGTCTCCCTTCGTTGTA